TGAATCTGATTCTACACGAGCTGCAGGATGTGTGGATAATAAAAGAAAATCTTTAGATGGTGATAAACAGTATTGGATGTCTTGCCTTTTATAATCTGCCCTTGCCTCTTACCATTATAGTTGTGAGAGCTGGGGAAGGATGATGTAGGGATGCATGATTTTTGTTGCCAACTGAATTAAAAGTAAAGGAAATTTTAAATGTAAAACTTAATCATCTCTTTAGAAGGATAAATACAGAAATGTGTTTTGTGTTTACTTGTATATTTCTTTTTTTTTTTTTAAGATTTTATTTATTTATTTGACAGAAAGAGCACAAGCGGGGGGAGCGGCAGGCAGAGGGAGAGGGAGAAGCTGACTCCCCGCTGAGCAGAGAGCCGACATGGGACTCGATCCCAGGACCCTGGGATCATGACTTGAGCTGAAGGCAGACGCTTAACTGACTGAGCCACCCAGGCACCCCTAACTTGTATATTTCTAAATGAGAATATTCTAGAAGTAGCTTATCTTAAGAACGAGAACCTGTTAAAGAGATAGGGAATTTGAAGAATTTACATTTTACATTTATTTGAGGCATTTGTAGTTCTAGACGATGGTAAGGCCGGAGAATATCTGTCTTTATCTTTGGTAATCCAGATATAATGGATACACTGTTAGATCCAATCCAATGCTGTGCTGATTCTTAAAACGCTATTTCTATTTGAGTTATTAATAACACTATATACCCACATTGAGTATAGAGATTACTTAATAACACTATACATGTTTAAAATATTTTTCAAAATTCCTAAAAAGAAGTATTATATGACACAGTTCTTTTTTATAGAATATACCAGTGGTTCTCAAAGGTGTGGCCTGTAGACCCAGGAGTCCCATGAAACCCTCTTAGAGAATCTACAATTTCAAAACTATTTTCATAGTAAATCTAAGACATTATATGCTTTGTGTGTGTGTATGTATGTTGACGTTTATACCTATGATGCAAAAGAAATAGTGGATATAATTGCTGGGACCTTTGCATGAATCAAGGCAGTGGCATCAAACTATACTCTTCATCTGTATTTTTTAGTACTTATAGACTAAAAACACCTTACTTCACTGAGGATTTCACATGATGAACCAGTTAAAATTATTACTGTTATTAAATCTTGACCTTTGATCATATATCTTTGCAACATTCTACATGATTAAATGAGAATGTGTAAAGCACTTTTACTGCACACTGAGGTACAATGGTTGTCTCAAGGAAAAGTACCTTGCAGTTGTTTAAGTTAGAAGCTGAACTAGATACTCTTTCATGGGATACCATTTTTACTTGAAATTACAACTGAAAAACTAGTTATGATTAGTCAGACTTAGGTTATTGAGAGACATTTTCTCAAAATGAACAAAGTGAGCCTGTCACTTAAGGGAAAACAACTGACAGCATTTATTGCCAATAACACAGTTCAGGCTTTCAAACAAAAATTAGAATTTTGGAAAATTTGTATTTGCCCATGAGAACATGGGCAATTCCCAAATTTAAAGATTGTTCTGGTGATATTAGTGGTTATACTGTTTTTATGATAGTATGTAATGAAATGTTTCATGTCCATGTTTGGAAGAACTACATAACATACTAAACCAATATTTTCCAAATGGTGCATCATGTTATAAAATTATGCCTGGGTGTAAAAGAAGTACAAGAAAGAGCAATGACTGTTAATGTAGCAGAGTAAAATTTTATTATATTAGAAAATTTATTGTATTCATGTTGAAAATTAATTTGATTAAAACATATAAGTTCATGGGGCGCCTGGGTGGCTCAGTTGGTTAAGCGACTGCCTTCGGCTCAGGTCCTGATCCTGGAGTCCCAGGATCGAGTCCCGCATCGGGCTCCCTGCTCAGCAGGGAGTCTGCTTCTCCCTCTGACCCTCCTCCCTCTCATGCTCTCTGTCTCTCATTCTCTCTCTCTCAAATAAATAAATAAAATCTTTAAAAAAAAAACCAAACATATAAGTTCATGACTTTATTGATATGGCTCATAAAGTACATTGAGAAGGTTTCAGATTTCACTGGCAACTAACCTTTAAAAAACTATCACTTATTGAGTTTTGGGATGATATTAAAGAACAATATCCACAATTATCTGAAAAACTATGACAGTACTCTTGCTTTTCCAACTGCATATCCTTGTGAGGTCTGATTCTTTTGATATACTTCAACCAAAACAACATATTACAGTAGATTGAATATAGAAGCAAACATGAGAATACAGCTTTTATTAAGCCAGACATCAAAGAGATTTGGCAAAGATGTAAAGCCGTGCTACTCTTTTTTATTTTTTTTTATTTCAAAATCATTTTTTGGGTATAGTTGATACAATGTTATAGCAATTTCAGGTGTACAACATAATGATTGGGTAAACATTATGCTCTGTTTACTGTAAGTGTAGCTACTATTTGTCCTTATACATTCCTATTAAAATGTCACTGAATTTTTTTTAATTTTATTTATTTATTTGAGAGAGAGCATGAGCAGGGGAAGAAGCAGATGGAGAGGGAGAGGCAGACTCCCTGCTGAGCAGGGAGCCCAATGCAGGGTTCTATCCCAGGACCCTGGGATCATGACCTGAGCTGAAGGCAGTCGCTTAACCAACTGAGCCACCCAGGTGCCCTTGAATTTTTTTTTTTTAAATAACAGTATTTTTCATGAAAATGTTACTGTGCTGGAGTTAGAAAATCAACATTTTGCTACTATCATAGTAAAGACTGGTTCAGGCAGGAATCATCGCTGAATGCACAATCTACAGGAGAATTTTGATGAAGACCAAGATGTTTTCCTGGCCATAAATAGTCTCACCATATATTTATTAATGACAAAGGAAAAATTAAAAAAGAATAATACTCAGCAGAGAAATTCAAAGCACCTTGACCTGGCTATCAAAGTCACCATTTTTGAGAAGCCATTGGGCAGTGTATACTTTCATATGTGACAGCTGGAGAAGGATAGTGTTCTAGTTGAGAATGCATCGCCTAAATCAAATCATGAGCAAACATTTGACAATACCAAGATGAGATTCATTATTTTTAAAAGATAGACATGGTATTCTTCAAAATTGTCAGGTCATAGAAGGCAAAAACTGTGGAAATATTCCATATTCAAGGAAACTAAAGAGAGATGACAACTAAGTACCATATCTGACCCTAGGCTGGATCCTGCATTAGAGGGCGAAAATCCTATAAAGGGCATCATTGGGTTAAACAGACAAAATTAGCATATGGATGGTAAAGTATTGTATTAATGTGGCATTTGCTGAAGTTGATAACTATACAGTGATTGTAAGAGAGTATCACAATTTTAAGGTAATACACACTGAAATTTTAGGGGTTAAAAAAGGGCCTTCATGTTTGTAACTTACCTTCAGATAGTTCAGAAAAAAAATTAGATTAGGTATAAATATAAACACATATTTGTGTGTTAAATATGTGTATACATGTACACATACACAGACATGTATACATACATAGGATATAAATGATTTTTTAAATGGGTAAAATGTTAATAGATGTATCTGAGTAATCTGCTGTTATATAAGTGTTTTTAGTACTGTTCTTCAAATTTTCTGTAAGTTTCAGTTATTTAATTTTTAATTTTATTAAATAAAAAGTTTAGAAATTAAATGCAATAACTTATGTTAATGTAATGGGTTCACTATTGTTTTTCAGTTAGCAATAATTGCACCTCGGATAAACCTCATTGGCTACGATACTGCCACTGCGCAAAGCTCATCATTATTGTTTTTAAATGAATTAATATATATTTAACATTTTTCTTAGTTTTGTTTCTCATAGAGTAAGCATGAATATATCTAATCCATGTGAATAAAGCTCTTTGGGGTCCTCGATAATTTTTAAGAGTGTTAAGAGGTTCTGAGACCACAGAGTTGGAGGACCATTAGTATAGACTATGTGTGGGTAGTTAGGTAAGTGTTCCCCTCCTCCTTTTAAGGCTATGTTATGATTCTAGTTAATGAGAGCTGATTTGGTAGATGCCACTAATAACTTAACCTCTTTATGCCTTAGTTTTTATATTTTTAAAATAGGGATATAATATTGTCTAGTCTCAGAGGGCTATTGTAAGGTTTAAGTCAGATGTCTATATAAGGTTCTCAACTAATGACCACTCTGCCGTGCTGTCCTTATTGGCAATGTGTGTTTCTGCTCTGTTACTGCTTCTTTTTGGCATTTGTGCTTTGGCCAGTGATTTTGGTTCTAAATATATGCATATGAGCCACCACAAAGAAATCAAAGAAGAGTATCAGATAGTTCTTAAAATGTAAGTTTACAGTGGTCATGCCCCTTCAAAGAAATGATTAGGGAAACATAGAAGGATGAAGATGAGCAAGGAATTTGGGATTTTTGGAAGTCTCTGATATAAGAAAGAGCATCATAAACTTGGGAAGTTGGACCAATGATTGTATGAAGAGTGGCTGATAGAAAATATGACTGGACAGAAAATATTTCTCCATTAGGGACAAACTGTAACCCTACTTAGCACCATTTCCATGGTATTTCAAATTCCAGATAGGCATCATCTGATTAAATGTGTATGTGTCTATTGGGTCAATTAATTTGTTGTAAGAATATACACTTAAGGTAAAGAAAGAATACTGTTGTTTTGTGGCATTTTCACTGTTGTCTTGGCCCTGTCTAAATTCAGCTCTATTCTGTATCTCACTCTATCAAACATCAAGCCAATGAAAAAGAAAGAAAATTAGATTGTTAAACTATATTATGTTCACCTAATTGCAAATTATCACTTTTTTTTTTGAAAACAAGTGTGGCTTTATTCTTTTCAACTTTCTCTCTTTTACAGATAACTGTAACTGTTAATACAAGAAATTATCACTTTTTAAAAAGAGATCAAAAGATACATAAATGTAAAGGCTTTGTCATTTCAATATGCTATTTATTGTCTTTTAATCTTTTTTGCTAAGACTTGTGATTTATTTTTTTAAACAGATCATCAGAAACTGGAAAGAGAAGCTAGAATCTGCCGTCTTTTGAAGCACCCCAATATTGGTAAGGAAATCTTTTCAGTGTATTTTAAATGTTAATTAAAGTTTATGTTATGTATTTTTTAACCACAACAAAAATGTTACTTTAGTAATCTAGACTATTTGCAACTTCTAAGAAATAAGTTCCTAATTTTTGGTTTTGGTTTCATTTGATTCTTCTAAGTTTTTGAAATGTTTTTCAAAAGGTAGCAGTTAATATACTAATACTTTAAAAATAATATAAAATATTATTAATTGAATAGTGCTTTTATGTATCTTCAAGGATTGTTCAGCTGCTGCTGAAGTTTGGAGAGACAGAATTTATGTCGTTATTTTAGTCAGCTAAATTACTTTTTACCTATCCTGTAAGGAGTTTTTCCTATAATTATTGATTTTCTTCCAGAAACTAGTAAAATTATTTTATAATATTATGCCCCATGAATTATGAAATAGCATGATAATGTTCAAAATAAAAAACTGATGAATATAAGAAAAATAGAAGAAACAAAGGAAAGAAAAAGAAAAAGAAAAACAACAAAAAGAACAAGAACATGATTCTGTGACATTAGTTTTGATTATTTTAGATAAATGTCACTGCCCCAGCTCTGTGAGTTTTATTGTCAGCCAAATTATTTGTGATGTAGAAGTTGTGAGAGAGGAAGTGATAATGCAGTAGAATTGCAAAATCATTCACTGAGAAGGTTTATGTTCTTCTATTTTTGTGAATGGGACCATTCAATTTCTATTCCTGACTTGAAGTTTCTAGTGTCCTGCGTATTTCTTAGGTTCTTAGGTTCTTAAATGAATGAATGGATACTACCAAGTAAATCTGAAGCATTAACAAACCAGTAGCTGTCTAATATGAACCTTCTGGTTGGAGAGAGAACAACTCTAAAATGTAAATACATCTTTATAAGTGTTTTACCTGTGACAGTCTTTGGCATTTCTTGGTTGGCTATCTTATTTTGCTAGGGCTGGCATAACAAAGTACGAGAAATTTATTTTCTCATAATTATTTCTCATAATTCTGTAAGCAAGAAGTCTGAGATCAAGATGTTAGGGTTTGTTTCTTCTGAGACCACTCTCCTTGGGGTGTAGATAGATGTCTTCTCCCTGTGTCTTCACATGGTCTTGTCTCTGTTGTAATTTTTTCTTCTTGTAAGAGCACCATCATACTGTATTAGGGTCCACCCTGATGACCTCATTTAACTTAAATGCCCTTTCAAAGACTTTATCTTCAAATACAGTCACTTTCGGAGGTCCCCAGGTTGAGACACAATTTTGGAGAGACACAGTTCAGCCCATAATATTGGTAATGAGAAATTACACAGTATGACCTGCTGTGGTTCAAAGAGCACTGTTGTTGCTCAGGTTAAAGTGAAATTTTTGTTTGGTTTGCTTTGTTACTTTTGTGAAGAAGAGTTGTTATTTGTTTTGTTTTTAATCAAGATCTTTCTGTGAAACTCAGTTTTTGTAGATAATAAAACTGGTTGTCCTCATTTCCTCTAGGAGACCAAAGTCAGACATTCTAAAGACACTCAAACTAAAACAAGAACAAATTTCATTTTGAAACCAAGCTGAATAACCTTACTAACAAAGGGGAAGTTGTACACTGGGAAAGTTCTAAAATTTTTTTTTTACATGGACAGCACCGTTAACACACTCTGACACTGCACACGGGTTTTTTCAGTGGTGCATAGCAGCCAAGGCCATGGCTCCTTGGTCGCCTCACTTGAGGTTTTCTTCCATCTTTCAAGATTTCAGGAGTACAAAAGCAACTATAGAAATTTCAGGTTCTTGAATTCTGAGATCCATTTCTAATCACAAGAGAGATTTTTTAGTGATCCTGTGCTACAAGATGGGAATCATAAATAGTTTAAACTTCTAAGACACACACTCAAAAATCATAACAGTGGCAAATTACTCATATTATTCATTCACTCAACAAACTGATTTTCTGGGAATACAGTAGGAATACAGCAGACCATTATACCTGCCCTCACATAAGTTGCATTTTTGGGGTAGACAGACAGTAAACAAAGTATAGGATGTTATATTGTGATAAGTACTGAGGGGGAAAAAAAAGCAGGGAATGGAAATTGGTTATGTTGGGGGATTATGATTTCAGATAGTTTGGTCAGGATGACTTAATTGAGAATGAAATTGGAATAAAGATCTAAAAAACAGGAGGAAGCAAGTCATTTGGCTCTCTGGGGAAAAAAGCATCAACAGAGGGAACAAACAGCCTTTGTAAAAACCCTGAGGAAGAATTTGCCCAGTCGATTCCACCAAAACTTTTTTTCTAATTGGAGAAATGTGGATGAATTATTTTCCCTTCTATCTTATCTTAATTGATTATCTTAATTAATCTTCATGTTACGCAATTTGACAGTGTTGTATTTACTCACACAAAGAGAAATGATTAAACACCAACAGTAATTGCCAAAAAATAATAAGCAGCAGTAAACAAAGGACTGCTTTAAAGATAGATGCCATGATGGGTATCTGAGATTGTGCTGGAGAGTAGGGAGAACAGTGCAGTAAGCGCAGTGCTGCTGTTCCCATTGGTTAACAGTTTCATGTAGATCACTCGCACTTACTTGCTCACTGCTGGTTCAGTTTACTCAGGTGAAACAGCATTTGGTCTTGATTCTCCTGAAATAGGTAATAAAGTGATATCTAGTATGAGACTCTTACCTCTTCTTCCCTTTCCTCCATTCTATTACTTGCTCGGTTATCTTAAAATCTACCAGGTTTTAGAACTTGAAGGAACAAAATGCTACTTTTGACAACTTTTTCCTCCAGTGAAATTTTGCTTGTTACTTTTTTTTTTTTTTTAATGTGCCTTTCTCTTGGCACAGAGTCAGTAATCTGGGAACTTGCAAGTAAAAGGTTTCTCTTGAAGAAACACATAAAGCAACTAAAATTGGTAATTCATAAACCACTCTTTTTTTTTCTTTAGTGTTTTTTTAATGTTTTTCTAATTTTCAAAGTAAAGCACAGTGGAAAGTTTGGAAAACACAGTGATGTCTGAAGAAGAAACCAAAGGAAACGACTTTTAATATCTGTTGTATTCATTTCTACCTTTTGTTGATAAATCTTATGTGTATGATAACTTCCAGTTTTCTCTTCTACACATTTTCATACCATTTAGGTAAACCATGAAAACATAATTTTTAAAATTATCTTACTTAACAAAATTTATTTAGTGTTGTGGTCATTGCCAGCCGTGTTCTAGGCTCAACACACTGGTGATGAAGTGGTAATCAAGAGAAACAATATCTCTGCTTTACTAAAGGTCACACCCTAGTGTAAGGAGATAGGCCACAAAACAAAGGGCCATCATTATAATGTCATAGAGATTAGTTCGATGCAGAGAATTAAAATAGCGGAAATTGACACCAGGGGATTGGGTGGCTACTAGCAAAGAGGAACAGAATCAGACACTCGTTTAAGTCATTAGGCAGATTTTATTCAATATTATTGCATTAGGAGAAAGAGCTGAGCTCAGTTCCAAATACAGCAAAGACAACTAGGGATTTATAGCCAAGGAGCAGAATGAGAATTGAAAATTGCTGAGAGGAGATAGCAAACGTAGGGGGATTCTTACTGAACTTACTAAACTACTGACGAGATTCTTATTAAAGGAAGGCCAAAGGCTTAGACATCCAGGGCGAGGGATGAAGAACTTGATCAGATGTCAAGGGTGGTCACATATCAAAGATGGAGGGGTGACTTTGTAGGACTCTTCACTAAGACTAGCTTAGGCAGGTTGAGTATAGGTCCCAAGACAAGGCCTAGTCAAAAAGAGGGCTCAAGGAACCTGCCTAATTTTGGTCAAGGGGACAGTCTTTGTCACTACATTGAGTGGCTTGTCAGGCAAGATATGTCTGCGGGGGTCACATTTAAATTGATATCTAAAAGATAAGAATCCATCATGAAAAAGCTCAAGGAGAAAGGGTTTCAGGCAGAGTAAACTTCCCCTGTTAGAGGAAGAGGCAGAGGATCAGCATGTAGCCTACCATGAGTGAAAGAGAGAGAGTGACCTGAGATGGGTCCGAAGGATAGGTAGATGCCTGACCACAGGGCCTTGGAAATCAGGTGGAGCGTTTAGGTTTTATTCTAAGTGTAGTGGGAAGCCCATAGAAGGATGATAAGCAAGAGCGTGTCATCATCTGATTTGTTCTGCCTGCTGTGTGTAAAATGATTGTAGTCACATGAACACAATCAGAGATAATAGTGCTCCATTAGTTCATTAGAATCCAGTGTTTATCACCCTTGGCTCCTTTTCGGCAAGAATTTAAATGGATCCAGGCTGACCTCTTTTCTGTGTGTTCCACATAGTCCATGAAAAGTACAATGCATTTTTTGGCTCAACAAATTTGGGAGTGCAGGCAGTTTCCTAAGCAGCATCATCTTTACCCCTGTCTTCAGAGCAGCTAGCCAGACTATTTTGTTTGAGCCCCAAACTAGAAAGATTATAGCTAACTTTATCTTAAGGTGTTGAAGCAGTTTGGAAAGGACATCTTACCTCAAGCTTCTGTTAATTACCTTATTTTTCATTGTTATGTTCATCCTTTATTTTAATAAAATGGGCTTATTTTCTCTTGAGTTATAAGCAGATCTGTGGTAAATCAAATAGTCTGAGCTATATGTTAGCATATCTACTAAGTGAAGGAAAATAACTTTAAGGTAGTGAAATAAAATACTTGAGGTAATAGCCAAATTGTTCTCAAAATTATTTTGTTTCCATTGTTTTTGTACTTGATCTTTGATGAGCATTATTATTGAGGAAGTTTTTGAAACTCATGTCAAAGTCCAAATAAAACAAGAGAAACTAGGGAGATCAGGTAAAACACTCATTTAATGCAACTGTATAAATCTGAAAAGAAGTGGGCCATGAAAGGAAAAGAGAAAATATCAGGAACTTTGATCTGATTCATCTGAGGTCCCAAGTGAGAAAGATACCCACTTACTCTTTATTTGTATGGCGATCAATATTTGAGACAACTTTTCAGTTGGCGG